CTACCCTCTTTTGTTTCACTGGTCATGGTGTGGAGCCACTGCACAGAAGTCAGCAGAGTAACACCAGAAAAAGCCAATTAAGAGCAGAATTAGATGCAGATGTTTTAAGTCAATTGCAATTTTGAAAATAAAAAGAGATTCCATTTCCTCCAGGACTTCTCATTAAAAATTATGTAGTTTCTGGTACATTTGGATTGATACAGCAGAAATGATTTGTTCTAAGAATGGATAAGAAGCCTCTAGCCAGAGAATGAATTTCTCATACTTTAATTCTTATCAAGCAGATCACTGAGATAATGCAAACCAAAAGGCACTTGCATTGGCAGCTGGTTAACAAAGGCTTGCTCACGAAGTTCAGTGATAGAATGAGACATGGACGCTATTTACTGAATAAAAATAGCTTATAGCATATGGTTACTTATATTATTACAGAATAAATATAAGATGCTTTAATATTAGCCAGTATTTTCAATATATTGGAATTGTTAAAATTTGGTATGCAAATTGGGCAAGAAAAAACATTGGCTTTCATTGTTCATCATTTGCTGTAATGAGAGATAAATAAAAGTTTGGGAAGAGGATATTAGTAGATGTCTGTAAAGTGGTTCTAATGGAAATGCTGTATATAGTCCAATATATTGTTGTTCTACAAAAGTACAAAACCCTTGTGTCTTTCTTGCAATCTGCTGTACCCTCACTTAGCAGATGAGCTGCATCCTTGTGAATGTCAGTGTTTGTGTACCCCTCCTTCACTTGCGAAATGCATCCCCATGTTGTACTGAACCAACTTACAGGGGTAATGTGTGGCTTGTTTTCTCTTCTCTGCAACTGTTAAGGGAAAATATGTCAAAAACAACTTGGGTAAACCTATTGTGTTATGTGCATCATTACCTATGCCATATTCAAGCTGCTGCATCTTTTATACTACTTCATGGACAGATGCATTTTTAAGCTATTTAAACAGAGATTTATGTCTGGTGATAGATACGTTGAGAACTTGATATTTGTGCCCTTCTTACCCTTTTGCTTGGATTCATTACATTTCAGATGAGTTAGAATTTCAATTGCTGTAGGTTCCTAACTTACTGGAGAAAAAGTTGGCAACACCTTTTGAAGCAACCCACCTCTCTATCCATTGTACAGGCAATCTGGAGTGATGCACATGCCCTGCCTAAAAGCCTAAAAAACAGTGAGGTATATTTGGGCTTTCATGTGCCACAGTTGGCTGCTGTTAACAGGAAAAAAAGCATCTGCAGTGCTATAAAATTTGTTGCTTACTTAAAAAAATACAGAAGTTTTGTTAGCCTCATTTTGCACAAGGATTAAAAACAAGAAATTTAAGTTTTATGGTTTAACAAAGCTTTTCTTATAGTGGTTATTGACAGCATCTCCAAACAGTGTATGCAATTGTGGCTAAATTTGTATTGGCAAACAAAACAGACTGGAGACTGTTCTCTGGCCCTGAGGCCATTAGGCTTGGCACAGCTTGAATTCATACAGTTAATCTCTTCCCCTCACCCCAAAACGGGGTGATGTCCCTCTAAACCTGGCCTGCCTGGTTTGCTGTGCTAATCCCAACCATGCCCAGGCAGTACCTGAAAGAGCTGGTTGACCCAAGCAAAACTGTGCCACAGTGACAGGTTAATGGTACAGACAGACAGTGATACACCAGTGCTTGAGCCACACCAAAGCCCTGTTTGGTTTTCTAGTAGAGAGAGACAAACAGTGGGGTGTAATAGGTCTGACTCTAAACCCACACAGACCAGGAAAATCAGGAATAATTCTGTTCAGGCCACAAAAGTAACCAGCTATGAGAGCAGGAGGAGGATCAGTGTCATTGTCAGTTGGAATAATAAATTCTAAGTTTTTCATTTATCATTTCAGGTTTCATCGTCCGTAACTGTTTGAGCATATCCCATATTTCATGTAACAATTTTCTTTGGGGAAATCATTGCGTCCTGAAGACCTGAGATTGCACTGGAACTTGACTGAGTATGAGTGTGTACTACAGCTTACCCTGAGGTTAATGAAGGAAGTGGCCCTCGTCTTTATCAATGGACAAATGATTTGTCTAGGAGGAGAACCCACATGAAGCATTGGTCCGTGTTCAGGCAGCCCATGGTTGTGTGGCTAGCCCACACATACACGTTGGTGGACTTCTTCACTGGAGCTCCACAAGTCAGGAAGTGCCGAAGACAATCGCTTGAGAGCTGCTACCAGGAGCTCATCAGATTTCACAGGGTTGTGACTGAGGGTAACTAAGAGGGAGAGGGGTGTGAAAAGGACTGAGAGCTGGGGGAAGAGACTCTGCTTGTCAGTCCACAGAGAAAAGTGGAATGGATGGAACTGCTTAACAATGCACTTGGCCAGTGGGAAGAATTATTTTATAAAGAAAAACTGAGAGTGTGAGCAACTGTGCATGTCTTTTTTTTTTTTTTAGTGGCTGCAGCCTGTTTTAGAAACACAGCAAGCCACAATCCTCATGTCATCAGTACTTTAGTGAAGAACTGTCATTTTCTTTGGTGCCAGTAAATGCAGTTGCCAGAAATTAGTCCTAGTATAACTCATATGTCTTTTTTTTTTATTCCAATGAGCATGCTTCAGGAAAATACATTGAACATTCATACAGAACAAGTCATATATTTTTTGGTTTTTAATGTTGACATACTCTGGATCCTCAGAAATACATAAACAGGATTTGAAGGACAAATAACGTGACACTATGAATGCAATGAAATGCTTCATGTTTAGAAACACTCCTTGCTGTCTGCCACTTGCCACTCAAACTAGAGGGATCATTACCTTTCTCACCTATGGCAGGTGACAACTTCAACATCATGCTAGTGTGGATCCAAAATCAGGATTGAAATTAGGCACAGAAGTCTTTACTAGTAGGCTTGAGCAGTGATTACTGATGGGACTTTTGACATTTAAGGACTCTTGCACTGCTTTGAGGAAGAATTCCCAAACGAATCAGTATGTCTTCAGCCAGTGGCCCTGTAAAAGTGAATGGAAAATCATCAGAGTGTCTGCAGCCTGTTTTTGTTGAGTGTGAAGAATGGTTCTTAGATTCATAATTTTTTATACTATCTTGAAATTGTACATGTGAATACAGTACTATTAAAATTAAGTGGTATGGAGTGTGAAAGGCAATACATGTGTTTTTCTAAGTTGGCCCAAAGGCCTATTAAAAAGCCTGTGGCATTGTTTACACTAAGAAATTCTCTGTCTTATACTAGCACTTATTTATCCTTTGAATTAATGTACACAACATTTGGGAGGGGTCTGGAATTCACATATGCATACATTTAATGCAGTATTACCATATATTTGCTATTTATCCTTTCTAATGTGTGTACATATTACAATTTATTTTTGTCTTTTATGTGCCCTGTCCAGTTTTTAATTATGAAGTGTAAGTATTTCTTTTTCTGGCAATAAAAGGTCTGTGTAGATGCGATTTTTACCTCAGAACCTGCAGTAGATTCTTGCGGAATGTTTTTAGTTTATAAAATTGAAGGTGCTTGTTTTAGATGTCAGCCTAAAGGCAGGAAGGCAATTTGGTGGCTAAAATTAGATATCCCTCTTTACTGCTATTTACAACAAGACCAGGTTTGCATAAATGGAGTGGATTATTTTAGTAAAGAGCACTTGCAGAAACAGGAGAGCTTTCCAACAGCTGTCACTCTATTATTTTTAAAGAGATTGGCAAACCTTTTTTCAAAAAGATAGATTTATGTGCCTGTTAGGATCCCTTACATTTTAGTAAAAATCTAATGATGTGCAAGCCCCAAAATATCAATAACCAAATAAAATAACCATCTACATGCTTGTAGCAAAGAAAAGGAAGCAGCACCTTCCTTTTTTAATGGAATCAATAAGAGCCATTAGGATTCCATTTGCAGAAAACTGTTTACCTTCTGGGAGGCCTGTAATTTTATAAATATAGAAACACCACTTTGACATCAAGGAAGCAGTGTAAATTTATTCTTTGGCACTAAATCATACAGGAATGATCAGGCCATTAGAGTTAAAGTTTGTCAGCAATTCTGGTAGAATCCTAATTTTTATTTTTAGAATTTGAAGCATAAACTTAGAACTTACACTAGAATAGTTCTGCTTAAACTTTTATTTTTGCTGATGTTGCCAAATTTAGAAATGTGTGTCCAAAATCATAAAAAGGCCTACTATGTTGAATTTGTAGTATAAAACACAGTATTTCACTTCAAAGGAAATGAGTGGAGCAATTAAATAGACCTCAGTGTTGCCTTAATCACATTGAAACACTTGAAAGCCACCAAGATACTGAAGGCAGAAAGGTAGTTCTTACAGGGGCAGAATAACTTGGACGAAGGTAAGGTTAGACTGTATAAACTTCACTTACTCCACTGACATGCCAGGATACATATGGGTTACACCAGCAAACTAAAACTTAGGATCAAGTGATTTAATTGACTTTGCAAGAGGATATTCCTGTACAGTAGGCCTGGAGCATGGATGGAAAGTCATGTGCCACCAATTTGTTGTAAGAGTTAAAACACAAAGTTGAGGACACAACTTCTGGCTCAGATTTCTTCAAACTGTGTTATGTCATAAGACATGAGGATACTTAAGTGAGGTATCACTTAGGCTTTCCCTATCCTCCATCTGGGGTTGGAGTTTTTGTTGAAGTATTCACTACAAGCCATTGCTAGAGGCAGAACACAAGCCTCTATAGAGATGATTAGTTAATTTTTAATTTCTTGTTATTTTGATGATACCAGATGCACTCTTTGGCCCACAATTCGGCAAACTAATTAAGCAAATTTATGTAACTGGACAAAAAGAGTTGTCTTTATTGAAACGTGAAAATGTAGTATACTTACAGAATTAGAACTATAAACTATCCATTGTGTATTGTACCCACACATAGACACAGAATTGTATATACTATTTTTATAAATATCGACTGGCAGAAAAACAGCTGTAAAGTGTTATCCATGCAATAAAAAATAATGAGAATTTGGTATGTCACTATGTACAGTGAAGCAGGTTTGCTTTACCTTATTGAGCTGCCTGAAGTCAGTTTCTGCTGCATCTCCTAGTCCTCTGTATTGATGATGTTGAGTTGCATCAACAGCCCACTGGAAATAATATACCATGTACCTGTCTATGGTGCTGCATATCTGTTAGAAGGGAAAAATCAGGATAAGTCCTGAGAAATTCCCAAGTGAGTAATCCTTGAGAAAAAGAAAAGATGTTATAAACACAAAGAAAAAAACACTTTCCATGCAATGCATAGTGCAGCCCAGCTGGCTAATAGGGATCAGAATGTTAATTTTTATCAAGTTGGATGAATCATCTAAATGTCATCCACAACATATGACAAACCTTACACACACTATACCTATGTTCCACAGAGTCAGACACGAACTCGGATATCTACATCCACACAAAGAGAAAATGAGTAGCTTGAAGCAGTGGTTTCTGAAATGAGCTCATATATCACACTTATCAGTAGAATCATGCATCACAGCATGTTGCTGTGGGTGAAAAAGAATGGATGCTTAATCAAATCCCAATTTCTTCTTCACATAAAAAATTGAAATGGTTCTAGAATGTCTCTCTTCCTTCAGGTAATACATATTAGTCCTTATAACTGAAATGCAGTCTGAATTTTCTCAAATTGTGATATATATGTTGACTCAACAAGTACCAAAAAAAATATTTAACTAAATGCCATTTTGACTGGTGATTTGAAACATGGTAGGACCAGGAGCAGCATCTCTACAAAATCACTGGAAGTATTCACAGCTATTTGTAGGTCTCCAATACTGCATTTATTTGTTGGGTTTATCATTTACCTACAGTTGTGTGTCCTTTCTTGTGGTGGACTTTACTGACCTCTGATGTGGTGTGGGGCAGGGCAGCCCCACCACCTGCTTTGGCCACACTGAGACCTCTTAGAGCAGCACCACAACCTCAGTGCTGACATGTAAAAAACATATCAGATGACCACATCTTTTTTCTTTAATTTGAAAAACAAATGAAAGCTGTGAAACAGAGGTGTGAAAGTATCTCTGATATTACAGAAATCAGACCCCTTCTTCAAGGTGAGAGTAGTGTTTTGTTTCCTGCAGACATGCTTCAAACTCAGACCTGTAACTAGTAATCCTACAGCCATATTAGAGAAATTGTTTCAAAATAGCAGTAACTTAACCTGACTATAAATATAGTCTGAACCTCGATTTCATATCACAAAGTGGGAGGAAACTCCAGCCAGCATAGACTAAAAATGTCTAACCTAGTCTGGCAACCTAGGAAATGACCGCTGCAGGGTTTAGAGCCAGAGTAGGGAGAACCACACTGTCACCTGGGTACCTGCCAGGACAGGTCTGTCTGAGCACTGCTTGCACCCTAAGCAGAGACTACAATATCTGCCCTTGTCTTAATGTCTGTTAATGCTTTGATGATTAAACCAAGCTAAAAGTCTACGCTTGCACGGAACAACCAGAACTGAGTCTTTTAATACTTTCACATCATCTGCTTTTGGTCATATCTCGAGGAGTTAAGAGCTGTGCCACTGCTGTAAACTAACATAAAAACATACTCAGGATGAAAAATGGATAAACTTGCCTCCTGTCTTGAGGAGCTCCCCCATTTAATTCCATTATTGTTGCTATCTGTCTTCTTATTGCTCAGTGCAATGCTCACTGCTGGGACCTAGATTTTGACAGGGAAAAAAAAGAGAAAGCTATTCTGAAAGTTTTTATTAGGTGGATACAAAAATATTTTGAGGATCGAATAAATAAAAAAAAGTAAATTCCCCAGAATAGCTTAAAGCTGCTATTTAAAAGAAATCTGAATTAAAAAAAAACACCAAAACTTACAGACATGTATCTATAGAGAGAAAGGGAGACATGGGGCGAAATAACACATTTTGCTGTGCTGTTTCAACAGGCTTCTACTTATTAAC